GCCTTCGAGGTGGGGGCAGCTGGACTCCTCCCGCTGCTGGCTCCAGCTGGGAGAGGGCTTGTTTGACCTGAACGGTTTGCCCGGGCAGAGCCCTGGAGCTGCAGTGCAAGGCCTGGCTCAGCACGGGGGCAGAGCTGCTCCTGTCCCAGCCGGGAAGGCCTGGCCCAGCCTTGGGGCAGACCCAGGCAGGCTCCATTAATGCCAAATTAGCGTTTAGGTTTGTGCTCCAAGACAGAGTGCAGTAAGCTGTCTCAGGGGGCTCCACGCAGAGTCCCCTCTAACCCGCTCATAGATGCCAGCGTAATCTAGGCTTGTAACCACGTATCTCCTGCTGCTCAGCCCGACAGAGCATTAATGGACAGTAACTGATGTTTACACACTGCAACAATGATTAAAATGGATCCTGATTGGTACCGGGCTGTCTGTTGGGGGGTGGCTGCTGTCCCTCCCCTCTCTGTGGCAGCCCTGGTCTGTCCTCCTCTGCAGCAGAACAAGGCCCCCAGGGTGAAGAGCAGATAACAAAACTGACTGTTTAATGCTTTTATACACAATATAAATTACACCGACCAGCACGGCAGCAGCCATGGAACCAGTCCTGTTCCCCACTCCCCTCTTTTCCCCAAACCCCAGCAGAGGAAGGCTCTGGCAGGAAGAAACAGGCAGGTGGGGTGGCAGTGCTGCCGCACAGGCAAGGGTCAGAGCCGCCGGTTGTGACTTCACCCTGCCCAGACGGGACAGGGCTGCTGGAGGCCCCAGTGTGCCTGTGGGCCTGGTGTAAGGCAGCCCTAAGCCCCCGTGGAGTTGCCTGCCTGTCCTCCCTCCCCCAGAGAGGGCAGGCACTGAGGCACCCCAGGCCCACTGCCAGGCTAAGTGCTGTCTCAGGGCAGGGCCGTGCCCACGGCTGGAGGGGCCAGGAGGGCTTTGGCATTGCGTGGGTTCACCCAGCTCTCGGCTGTGTGGCCGTGGATCTTCTGGTGGCGCTTGTAGTTGTCCCAGTGACCAGTGGTGTAGGAGCAGTCCCGGCACTGGAAGGGCTTCTCGCCCGTATGCCGCAGCATGTGCCGCTTCAGGTTCATGCTCTGGTTGCAGCTGTAGCTGCAGAGGCTGCACTGGAAGGGCTTGTCGCCTGAGTGGATGCGCCCGTGGCGCTTGAGGTTGGCCAGGTTGCCGCAGGCATAGTCGCAGAGCTGGCACTTGTAGGGCTTCTCGCCTGTGTGCACGCGCTGGTGCCGCTTCAGGTTGTCCAGGTGGGCAGAGGCATAAGGACAGAGCGGGCAGGCAAAGGGCTTCTCCCCGCTGTGCGTCTTCATGTGCCGCGCCAAGTGGTTGGGGTAGTGGGTGACGAAGGGGCAGAGGCTGCAGGCAAAGCCCTTGTCCCCAGTGCCCTTCCGGGGGCTGGCGCCTGGCTCTGTGCCCAGCACCGCCAGGCTGCAGCGCCCGCAGACCTGCTCGGCCAGGCCCTCGTCCTGCGCGAACCCGTCGTCCAGCACCAGCCCGCACATGCGGCAGGTGAAGGGGAAGAGCAGCTCTGGCAGCGCAGCCGCCTCCTCGCCCCGCAGCCGTGCGCAGCCGGGCAGGAAGGGGCCGCTGCCGCTGCCCACATGCAGGCTCAGCTCTGGCAGCAGTGGCTCTGCGGGACAAAGAGATGGGGTTGTGAGCTGGGCGGCACAGCGCCAGTGAGGATTGGCTCCGTGACAAGCCACAGTGCCCCGCTGAGACTGGCAGTAACAGGACTTCGGATCAATGGCATGATCTGTGCCCTGCCCCAACCCCAAAATCAGCTCTCCCCACATCCCCACACCCTCCCACCATTACCTGGGTCCTTGTCCCGCCGGTGTGGCCCCTCGCCCTCGGGCAGGCGGTGGCTGAGCATGTGCCGCTTCAGGTTGCGGCTCTGGTTGCAGCGATAGTCACAGGCAGCACACTGGAAGGGCTTGTCCTGGCTGTGGACTCGCTCGTGGCGTTTGAGGTTGCCCAGGCTGCTGCAGGCGAAGCTGCAGCACGTGCAGCGGTACGGCTTCTCCCCGGTGTGCGTGCGCAAGTGCCGGGTCAGGTTCACCAGCTGGGCAGAGGCGTAGGCACACTGCGGGCAGGCGAAAGGCTTCTCCCCATTGTGTGTCTTCATGTGGCGCTTGAGGTGGCTGGAGTAGTGGGAGGCGAAGGGGCAGAGCTGGCAGGAGTAGACGATGCGCTGGCTGCGGCCGCCCTCGGCGCCGGCGCACTGCAGGCAGCTCTGGCCCAGGCTGGCAGCCAGCTGCAGCCCGCACTGGCGGCAGGGCAGGGCGGCGGGGCTGGGCTCACCCCCCTCCTCGGGGTCACTCTCCACGCTCAGCTGCTGGTACCCAGAGGAGCAGTCGTCGTCGCTCAGGGCGTATGCTGGAATAGCGATCTTCCCCACAAGTGTGTCTGCTGAGAACACCGTGGGGATGGGGCAGTGTCAGCCTGGCTGGCCTAGGCACAGCCCCTCTGCCTACGCCCCCAGTCCCAGATGGGTCCCCACCCTGTGGCACCCAGTAGGAGCCCAGCACGCTGTGCACTGCAGTGAGAAGCCCCACAGCCGTGGCCTGCCCCAACGCCCTGCTAAGGGCCTGTTCTGGGTGTCTCGGGAAACCCTGACACTTCTGCGTGGCTGGCCAAGACCCTGGCACCAGGAAGGGTGAGAGGACGGGGAGATCCATTGCCCACAGGCACTCCTGAGCCTGGTGGGTGGAAGGTGGTGGGCACAGCCTGGCTCAGGCTAGAGAAATGGGTGCCCATAAGGCTGCTCTGTGCCCCTCTCACTGTGCCACTGCCCCAGCCCCGGGGCAGCTGGTTGCACTTGCGTAGCTGGCACCGTGGAGCTCCTACATCAGCCCCTTCTATCCTGCGGGAAACATCCCCCAGCCCCACACAGTGCCACTGTCTGGTGGCTGCAGGGGGAAGCCTGTGCCAGGCTCTCAAACAGAACTTCTCAGTTGGGCAGACACATCCTTCTGCAGCCCCTGTGCTCCACGTGTGCCCCCAGGCTGGTGCTTGGGGCTGGAGGGGCAGCTCACCACTACCAGCTGTGAGCCACGCCTTGCTGGCTCTGTGCTGTGCCTGACCAGCAGCCCTGGGGTCTGTCAGACTCAGCAGCTGCCCCCCATCCTGGGAAGCACCCTCGACTGTCCCCTTGCTGCTGCCACCTGGGCTGGGTCCAGCTCCCAGAAGCCAGCAGGTACAGAGATGAAGCTGACCCATGCTGTGGGATGGGATGACCCCTCCAGCTTCCCAGCCCCTTCCACAAGCACTGCCAGAAACGCAGTCATCAGAAAAGGGCATCCCACCAAGGCCTGGTTATTATGGAGGAACACTACCCTGCCTCGAGCCCTCTGCCAAGGGACTCCCTTTGTCCTCAGCTCAGCCCCACCCGCACCAAGGGACCCACCCGTCCCCTCAGCCCAGTCCCACACTGAGGGAACCCCCTGCCCCTCAGCCCAGCAGTGCCACAGCATCCCCAGAGTACCGTCCCCTAAAAGGCCATGTCAGTGCCTGTCTGTCCTGACTGGTTCAGTGGGCTGAGATCCTAGTCCTGCTCCCTGGCTGGGGCTGAACGGGAGAACAGGTATTCCTAGTAGAATTTGTCACCAAATCCTTGCCAGGTTCCTTGGGCTACTAAGCAGCTGTCCCAGGGCAGGAAAGCACAGCCCTCAGAGCATCCCCATCTGCCAGGCAGCTGGACTGAGCCTCAGTGCAGAGCAGAAGCACATGGATCAGGGCACAGCCCTTGGGAACGGAGATGTGGGGCCGGACAGTTCCTGCTGTCCTCCCTCGCCATTCTGTTCTCACGTTGCTCCATGCCTGGGGCGGGGAGTGACTCCCAGCAGTCCCCATGAAGCAGCTCCACGGAGCAGAGCAGCGCTCGCTCTTCCGGCCGCCTCTGTCGGGGCTGACCCAAGCTCGGGAGCAGCGGCTGGACAGGCGCTGCCCGGTCGCACCGGGCCGGTCCCGGGGCTGGGAGCGCTCCGTACACCCCGCAGTGCCGAGGGGAGCGGTGGAACAGGAGCCCGGGGCCGGGCGGGCAGTAGAGCCGGGGCTGAGCCGGGGCTGGTGGCTCTGGGATGAGCCCGGCGGCGGCTGCGAGGCGCGGCCCCAAAGCCACCGCGGGCACTCGTCGTGCCCGGGGCCTTGGCGGGAAGGAGCACTCGGGGATCGGTGCCGAGGGTCAATACCGGGCGGGCAGAACCCACCCGGGGGGCCCGTCGGGGGCCGGGCCTCCCCCGTGAGAGGAAGATCGGTCGGAGCCCGCGCCGGGCGGGCCCGGGGCAGGGCGGGCCCTGCCGGATGCGCCAAGCGCGGGGCCGGTACGGCCCGGCCGGGCCGCGTCCCCGCCGGCGAGGCTGCCGGAGAGGGGCGGCGTCCCCGCGGGGGCCGCACGCACCTGGCGGTCCCTTCTCGGAGGCCGGGCCGCGGCCCAGCAGCAGGTCCCCGGGCAGCACCACCGCCGCTCTTGCCGTCTCCTCGGTGCCATCCTCGGCGTCCGCTGCAGCGCTCCGAGCGCCGCGGGTCCCCGCCGGGCCGCCGCCGCCCCCCGGGCCCGCCGCGCACTCACCCTTCACCGGCTGCGGGTGGCTCTGCTTCCGCCGGGGCATCGTGGCGGGCCCCGGCGCCGGCCCGGCCCCGCCGCCCGCCCGCCCGCGGCCCGCCAGCCGCCCCCACCAGCCCGGGGCGGCCACCGCCGCCCCGCCTCGACCGGACACTTCCGCTTCCGCTCCCCCCGGGCGCGCGGGGGCTGTGCCGGAAGCGGCCGCGCGACCCGGAAGCGGAGCCAGCGCGTGCGCAGAGGCACCGCGGCCTCCCGGCCCCGCCCGCCCCGGCGGCCGCGGCATGAGCGGGCCCTGGCCCGGCGAGGGCGTGGTGCCGGGCCGAGCCGGGTGACGGGACAGGCGGGCAGGGCTCGGGGGCTCGGGCGGGGCTCGGGGCGGGGCGGGACAACAGCGGCTCCGCCCCTTCCGGCCGGCGGGAGGTGGTGGCACCGGCGGGACCGGGACCGGGGTCGCTATCGGGCGCTGACGGTCTCTGTACCCCTTCAGGGGCGGCCGCGGCTCCTTCGGGTCCGCCCACGCCGAGAGCCGGCGCCGAGCGCAGACCCCGGTGAGTCCCTTGCTGGTGTCCCCGCGCGGTCAGACCGGCCCCAAGGTGGTCGGTGCGGAGGAGCAGCCCAGCCGTGTCCCGGGGTTGTGCCCGATCCCCACCCGCATCGCTCGCTGTGCTCTCCCGGTGGCTCCGGTCCGCGGCCGGGCGGCCCGGGCTGTGTGAGCCGCGGCTCGGATCCCTCCTGTCCCTGTGCAGGATCCCTGCTGTCCCTGTGCAGGATCCCTGCTGTCCCTGTGCAGGATCCCTCCTGTCCCTGTGCAGGATCCCTGCTGTCCCTGTGCAGGATCCCTCCTGTCCCTGTGCAGGATCCCTCCTGTCCCTGTGCAGGTCCATGGGCGCTGGATGTGTCGGGCTGTGGCCGTCCCGGGGGAGCCGTGGCCGTGCCGTGCTGTGCTGCCAGCGATGATTCCCCGCTGACAGGTACAGCCCTGGCCATCTCTCGCTCTCCAACCACCACGTAAATCCTGTTTCTGCCTGGTTTCCCTGAGCTCTGTAGTTGCCCTCTCCCTGGGAAGCACTGCTGTATCCCCTGGGAAGTGCTGTGTCCCCCGGGGGGATGCGGAGCCACCCAGTGCTTGGCCCAGCAGAGCGGGTACGTTCGGACTCCTCAGTCTCACCTGAGTGTCGCTGGTGCCGGCCTCCTCTCATGCCGGTGGTTCTGCCTCTGGCAGGGCTGGCACGATAGTGCTGTGGAGGCTGTAGCAGTGCTGTTGAGGTGGAGAGGGCAGGGGGCAGCTTTGGGGTGTAGAGTGGGAAGGATCATGGGGAGGGAATGTGGTGTGGCCATGGATGTGTGAGCTCTAAGCAAGGAAAATGGACAGATTTACCCCACTGCTGGAATTACCTGGCTCCCGGTCACTAAATGAACTGGGTCTTGGGTCCCTTGGCAATTGAACTCCAGTGAAAAGCGCTTTAGCCATGTCTCAGCCTGGGGAGGAGAGCCCTGAAGCCCCGGGGTGGGGATGGCTGTGAGTGTCACACTGCTCTGTGCCTGGGCTGCTTGTCACGGTGTTGCCGCTGACTTCCCCACGCTGGGGATTTGGGAGTTCCGTGGTCCTGGGCCTGTCATGCGGAGCTGAAGGAGACAGGATGGGGCAGAACAGGCTTGGGTCTGCTGGCAGGGTGCTGTTGGGCTTCTCTGGGTGCCGAGGGCCTGTTCCCAGGGCACGGGCTCGCTCTCAGGAGCAGTTCCTCTGCAGGCTGAGCGGCATCGACTGCAGCTGGGGATGGTTCCGCTGTTACCCGTGGTGAGGCTCAGGTAGGAGCTGGGCCATGGAGGCTGCACCAGGGCCAGCACCTCCCCGCTGCCCTCCGTAGCCCAGCAGCCGTCGGTGGCTACCTTGGCGGGCCACCATGGAGCAGCCCACACGTGTGCCTGGGCCCCGCCGGCTTCTGGGCTGCTTCAGGCGGAAGCCACAGACCATCGAGGGGGAAACACCACCACAACCGGAGCCAGAGCCAGAGGAACCCGAGGAGACCCGCATCGTGCTGGCCCTGGGTGAGAGCCAGGCGCTGGAGGAGTGTCCCCTGTGCCTGCTGCCCCAGCCCCCCGAGGCCTTTCCCAGCCTGGCCTCCTGCTCGCACCGCTCGTGCTGGGCCTGCCTGGAGCGGTACCTGTGCCTCGCCGTGAGCGAGAGCCGCGTGCCCGTGTCGTGCCCGCACTGCCCCGCTGCGCTCCAGCCCGCCGATGTCCACCGGCTCCTGCCCCAGCCCGCCCTTCGGGACAAGTACGAGGAGTTCCTGCTGCGACGGCTGCTGGTGGCTGATCCTGGCACCCGCTGGTGCCCCGCACCTGACTGCAGGTACCACCGGCCCCAGCACAGAGACGGGAATGCGGGGCTGGGCGCGGGCCCCCTCCCACAACAGCAGTGTGTGCCTGTGTCCTGGGAGCCCTTCCCAGGCGAGGTTCCTCATCGCCTTGTCCTTTGTTGGGCTGGGTGTGCCCAGGGAAGTGTGAAATGTCCTGGCCTGGCTGCAGAGCCTGTGCTGCTCTGTCTGACAGCGCTGGTGTCTTTGGCTGTGCTGGGTACTCTGTGAGCCCCAGGGCTGTGGATGCTGGGCAGGGTGGGATGCTGAGGGTGTATCCCGACTCTCCTGAGTGGGGCTGTGGCTCCAGCTCCATGCGGGACCGGGACTGCCACAGCCCGGCTTGGCTGTGCTGGGGAGGGGCCCCCTCCCGCACCCCAGCTCCAGCCGCCTTCTCCCCACAGCTACGCTGTCTTTGCCCACGGCTGCGCTGAGTGTCCCCGCCTCACCTGTGGGCGTGAGGGCTGTGGCACCGAGTTCTGCTACCACTGCCGGCAACCCTGGCACCCTGACGGCCCCTGTGCACCACCGGCCCCCAGCCTGGCCACCCCCACAGCACAGCTGGCCCAGCAGGAGGAGTTGGCCCATGGTGAGGCCCTGGCCCAGGGTGGGAGCAGCAGGGCTGGGGTTTTTGGCACAGTCGTGTGCCTCTGTGCCTTCTGCCTGTGGGGCTGCTGGAGCCAGGATCCAGAGTTCCCCCTGGCTGCTTCTGCTGCAGTCTCATAGACCCTGTGCCAGTTGGGCCGGGGTGTGTGAGGGACCTTGGCTCCCCACATGACACCTGTGGGATGGGAAGAGCCTGGGACAGGCTGGGAGGGATGCACACTGTTCTGTCCTGCTCCCCCATCCCTTCTTATCTCCCCCCAGCTGAGGCTGAGGACATCAAGGTCTGTCCTCGCTGCAGTGCCTTCATCATGAAGATCAACGATGGGAGCTGCAACCGCATGAACTGCACGGTCTGTGGGTGCCTCTTCTGCTGGCTCTGTCTGCGGGAGATCTCTGATATGCACTTTCTCAGGTCAGTGCGGGGCCATGGGGCTTGGGGGCCCTGACAGGAGCTGGGGGACTGGGATGGGGGCAACCAGGCCCTGCCCCAGGTTTGGGGTTAGCTGGGGCGAGCAGGGTGGTCTGTGCTGCTGGGTCTGGCAGGGCTGGGGTTGGCTTTTGGCACCCTGTCAGAGGCAGCTGGAGCTCAGGGTTGGGGGAACCTGGCCACCTGCTCTCTGGTGGGCCCATGGATGTCTCCTGGCACGGAGCCAGGCTGTGCTGGTCTCTGCCTGCCCCTCGCAGAAGCCATGTCTCAGCCCCTCTGTCCCCACAGCCCCTCTGGCTGCACCTTCTGGGGGAAGAGGCCGTGGTCACGGACCCGGAGGATCATGTGGCAGCTGGGCATGGTGCTGGGAGCCCCCATGGTCATCTCTCTTGCTGCGGGTGTTGCTGTCCCTGTCATTACCATTGGGATCCCCATCTACATGGGTAGGAAGGTACTGGCAGGTGGTCCTGGAGTCCCTGTGGTCCTGCTCCCCGCTAAGCCTGGTAGCCCATGGCCCTTGGCTATAGAGACAGACCTGCAGTGCTCCCTGCTGCCCACAGCACATCTCTGTGCCACCTCTGACCACCCCCAGCACGTGCCTGCGCCCACAGTCCCTCCTTGCTGGGACCTTCTGCTGCGCCCCAGCAGCCCCTGCTGGTGCAGGTGTGCTCAGCCTGGGGAGAGGGGTCAGGGTGGGCAAAAGGAGGAAAGGTTCTAGGGGGGCTTTCCAGGAACACCTGTGCTGTGGCAGCAGTGGTGGTGTGGCTAAGGAGAGGGAGGGGTGTCGGCTATGGCTGGAGCTCTGCCAGGCTGGAAAGAGGCTGTGTCCCTGGGGCTATGCCGAGGTCTTTGTAGAGCACTTCACCTTTTTGTCTTGTCCTTGAGGTGCTGGGCCAGAGCCGGCGAAGCAGTCACTCCGGGTGCCAGCAGTGCCTCTCTGTCACCAGCAGTGTCCTCCTCTCTCTCTTCGTGTCCCCTATCATAACAGCTCTCACTGTGGGTGAGTGCTGAGGGCGCTGCCCACGTTGGGGAGCGGGGCTGTGGCTGTGACGTGGCCGTGGGGGACGTCTGGGGCCAGAGGCACCACAGCTGGGGCTGGGCAGTGACCACTTGACCACCCCCAGGTGTTGGCGTGCCCCTGGTGCTCACCTACGTGTACGGGACCGTGGTGCTGTCGCTGTGCCGGAGCCGCTGGGGCTGCAGGGGCAGCCGCACGCCTGGAGACCTCGGCATGGTGGAGCTGGACAACCTGACCAAACGTGAGTCCCACACAGCTGGCAGGCCCTGGCCCGTGCCCTCCCTGCTCCAGCCAGGAGCTGTCCGTGGGAACAGCGTGCTCTCTGTCCCCAGTGAATGAGCTGTGGTCAGTGCTGCCCAGCCCCAGACCAGGTGAGGACGGAGCTCCAGACCCTGCTGCCTCCATCCCCAGCAGCAGCCGCAGCCCGCGCCCGGGGCCAGCGTGGCCGGAAGGGGACAGCCAGTCAGCCAGCACAGTGGCCCTTGCTGGGAGTATGCTGAGTGAGGGCCAGGACACCTCTGACAGGTAACAGGGTGGCTGTGCTGGGGGGGCTGGGGAGTGGCACATCCTTTCCAAACAGCCTCCCCTGCTCCTGCTGTGCTGGGCAGGGATGGTGATGTCCCTCTTAGGGCTGCTGCCCTCAGGCCAGTGTCTGTCTGCAGGGAAGGTGTTACCATCGAGGTGGAGGTGTCGGTTGAAGCAGTGCCACGTTCTGCCCGGCAGCAGAGCCTCAGCAGTGCCCTGTCTGGGCAGAGCCTCTCTGGGGACTCCCTGGGAGCCACCAGTGACAGGGGCAGCTCCGTGGGTGTCCCTGTGGAGTGATGGGGACCTGAGGAGCGTCTGGATCCACACACAGGCCCTGTGCCCTCCTGTGGCAGAGCCAGTCCCCTTCTGCCAGCATGCCTAGCCCTGGGAGCTGGGTCCGGGGTGGGTGCCAGCTGCACCCAGCACTGCCACACCCTACAGTAGCCCTGTCTGCCCCTTTCCCAGAGGCACCACTAGGAAATAAAGCTGCTTTCTGAGGGTCCCTCTGTCTCCTGTGGCAAAACTCCCCTGACAGTGCAGCCCCATGGCAGCCCACTGGTGTGCACGACAGGCATCGCATCTGCACCTGCGTGAGGAAGAGGCCACCCAGGCGATGCAGGGGTTGTTGTGGCTGCCCTGCCTTTACCAGCTGATCTGCTCTGAGAGCAGGCTGCAGAGCTGGGGGAGGGCAGCAGCCCCCCAGCTCCAATCTCTGGTGCTGATCCCCGCAGGGATCCATCCTGCAGCAAGGCCAGTGTGGAGGGACCACGAGGGAACACTCTGGGCTGTTGTGGGAACCTGTTGCCAGATGGGTTGTGTAGTCTCAGGCACTGGGATCCTCACCACTCTTGACTCCACTGCAGCACCCTTTTTTTTCCCATAGGAAAAAAAAAAAGCTACTTCTGAATGTTTTGCTATGCAGAGTTGGGCAGTCACAGAATGAGTAAATGATTTGGGTTGGAAGGGAATTTAAAGCTCATTGTTATCCCTTGCCATGGGCAGGGATATTTTCCACTAGATGAGGTTGCTCCAGGCTTCATCCAACCTAGCCTTGAACACTTCCAGCTTCTCTGGGCAACCTGTGCCAGGGCCTCAACAGGGCAGAATTTCTTCACAATGTCCCATCTAATCCTGCCCTCTGGCAGTGGGAAGCTATTTCCCCTTGTCCTGTCCTCCCAGACCCTTGTCCAAAGTCCCTCCAGCTTTCTTTAGGCACTGTGACTAAGGTCTCCCTGGGTCTTTCTTTTCTCCAGACTGACCATCCCCAGCTGTCCCAGCCTGTCACCACAGGAGATGAGGTTTGTGAGCTGGCTCACCTGCACAACTTCTCCAGCTGCTCTGGGATTCCCATGTGATGGGGTTGTGCCTTTGGCAGTGCCTTGCACTGCAGCTCTTCCATTTTCAAGGATGAACTCCACCCTTCTGGTCCTGGGCTGTTGTCTCAGCTCCCACAGTTCAGTCTGTCCCTCACCAGCCCAGCTGTGCCTCCTGGTACCTTTGACCCCCTTTCCTGGCAGCCTCAAGCTTCAGCTCCCCACCCAGTCTGGTGGCTCTGCAGTGAGTTATTCAGTCCTGAACTGCTTTCTGGTGTTTGGAGTGTCCAGGCTGGGCTCCTGCAGCCCTGTGCGAGTCTGGTGCTTCAGAGCCTCCAGTGACACACTGCTGCAGCTGGATTTGCTGCTGAGGCTGTTTCTATGCTTAGGAACTCTGGATGAGCTGTGTGTTCCCTTAGAACAGGGGTGCCTGAGGAGACTTTTCATTTGCAGAAGTGGGTTTGTTCTCAGTGCAACTTCCACTTGCTGCCAGGTGGGTTTATCTCAGGAACATTCTGGGAAGGGGCTGCTCAGTACCTCACACTGCCTTTGTGCTGTCAGTGTCCTGGTCAGGGTTACTCCAGATTGAATAAACAGAATGGAGAGTCACATGGACAAGCAGTCCTAAAGTGTTAGTTATTTCTGCAGTCCCTGAGAGCCTGAGCTGAGGCAGCTTTGCTTGGTGACATTAAAACCACTTTGTCTCAATTACCATATGCTGTCATCCTATTCCTGCTGCCAGGCTTCCATCTAGAGGGTTTGGTTTTAAGTTTTCTTCCTGGTCATTAAGGTTTGTGATGCAGTCTCCAGTCTCTGTGGAGTCCCAAAACAGCTCTGATTTGTGGTGACCTGACATTAGTGACCGGGATTGAGCAGTGACTGACTGGGTTTAGACCATTTTCTGTGTTTCTGTTGATGTTTTATCATGCTGACTTTACTCAAAATGCTCTGTGGTGGGTCCTGTGCCACAGCAAAGGCCCTCAGAGCTGCAGCTGTTTGGGGAGCAGATGCAGGGGTTCTGCTGTGGCTGCCTGACAGGTTCAGTGTTGGCAGCTCACCAGGAACACAGCGGAGCACAGGATCCTGGAGGCTGTGCAGAGAGAGGCCCTGCTCAGCTCCGAGAGCCAGTGGCAGCTCTGGCCTGGCTGTCACAGTGGCCCCAGGCTGTGACAGGATGGTCAGACAGGGGTACCTGAGGTCCAGGGGGACAGTGGGAGACACCCCCCACCCCAGTAACGGGGACTGCTGCCCACAGAGCCTGTGGCTCCCATGGAATCCTGGGGCAGGTGGGACAGCCACAGGCTGCAGGGGAAGGAGGGACTGGGGGAAAGAACAAGTGTGGGAAATGGGCATAAAAGGGGCCAATTGTGTATAAAAAGAAATAATGGATCACCGCAGAGTGCTCTTCTTTTCCAGTGTTTTGCTGGGTGCATGGGCTCTTCCTGCCATACAGGGAGAGCTCACCTGTATAGCCCACCCTTCCATCAGTGTTCTACAACCCATGGACATCGCTCCTGCTGGAGCACCCACGGGTATTGACAGCCCTTGGGCCAGGCTGGGAGGAGCTGCCTCTTGACCCACCTTGATAGAAGGTGCAGCTTTATGGGTGCTAGAGGCAGGTGAGCTCAGGCACATAACTGGTACCCCCATCCCTTGAGTAGAGACAGAGTTTCTCCAAAGGCTCAAGTTTACTGTGAGACTCCTCACAAGAGCTGTCCTGGGGAAACTGGGAGCCACAGGCCAAAACCACAGGGACAAATGTTCTCCTCCCCACCCCACCTTCCACTCCAGGAAAGAACCAAGGACCAAGATCACACCTGTATTTTCTGATCTTTTAGTTTGAAAAAAGTATTGATTGAAAGTGTACAACTGAACATGGCGTGGTCGCAGCACCACTGCCAGATTGTTTCACAAATAAAAACAGAAAGGGCCTTAAATAATCGGGTGCAGATTAAAAAAACCTCAACAGTGAAAAAGTTCTTCCCTCCAAACAGAAATTCACAGGCACAGAAATGGCAACAACCACATGGAGACAATGGGGGGACATCCTCCTCCTCCTCCTCACGGCAGACTCTGATGCAGCGCTCCCTGGCGCAGCTCCATCCTCGCTCCCTCTTTGGAATGGTTACGGATGAACAGTGCGACATGCCCTTGCTAACCAGACCCGCCCCCACCCCCTGACCAGGACACGGACAAACAAGGCCTCTGCTAAGGCTAAAAAAAGGACAAGACTTGAGTCTTGAGTTCAGCATGGGTAAGAAACGAGAGTCTGGTGAGCACAGCCCAGTCCCCAGGTGGGCCCTGCTACTCAAGTTTGGCCTTCTTGGTGCTGTCCCCACCGTTCTCCTCTGCTGGTGCTGCCGCCTCCCCCAGTTTCCGCTTCCCACTCTCAGCAGGTGGGTGTGTGTTACGGGGTTTGAAGCTGATAATGATGCAGGTCATGTTATCGCAGCCCGTGCCATCCCCTGAGGTGTCTGGAGCCAAGCACTGATCCAGCAGCTGGGAAGGGACAGGGCAAGTTAGCAGAGAGAAAAGATACACACTGGGACCACCCCAAGGCACTGGGCCCATTCCAGCACCTGCCTGGCTCAGGGGCTGCCAGGCCAGACCTGTGCAGGAGGAGTCAAATGCTGTTCCCACTGGACAAGGGACAGAGATGGCCTCAGCAGCCCCAGGTTTCTGAATGTGAGCAGAAACTCCTTTGCCTGGACAGCACCCCTGAGGTCAGACACTGGCTGGAGTGCCCAGAGAACCCATCTGAGGGAGTGGGAGGGCAGAGCCAGGCACTGAGCTGGGACACAGAAATGCCACATTGCTGGAGGGACAGCACCTCTCCTGATCTTACCTCTTCTACAATGGAGGAGAGTGGCCGCAGGACTCCATTCTCATCCTTCTGGGTGATCTTTGACTGGATGAAATCCACCACTTCCTGGCTGCTCATCACATTCCTGCAGAGCAGAGAGGTCAGAAAGGCAGGCAAAGGGAGCACACACGCCATGGTGTCCAACAGGCCTTCCTCAGGTCCTGCTCTGGAGAAAGGCTGGAGCAGTGATGCCCCAGAGGCACAACAGCTCCCCCACTACTCACCAGATTCCATCACAGGCGATGACCATGAAGTCGTGCTCATCATTTATTGTCAGCACTTTGATGTCAGGCAAGGCAGAGATCATCTGCTCTTCTGGAGGGAGGTTCTTGTTCCGCTTGTAGAAGTGATCCCCTGTGGTGGGGAGGAAGATGTCTGGGCACAGGCAGTGCTGCCTGCCCTGGACAGTGAGCAGCACTGCCCTGCCACAGGGCATTCCCAGTGGGATCAGCAAGTGCTCCCACAACCTGAAATCAGGCAGAATGAAGCAGAGCAACCATTGCAGGTTCCAGGTGTAAGCTCTGGCAAGCCCAGGGAAGAGGGGTCTTGGCCAGCTCAGCCTCTCTTTACAGCAAACCAAGTGCCCCCTTCCCCACCTCCTGAGGTAACCAACTCCAGGCCAACAGCACACAGCACCGATCACCTCTGAAGAGGCTGTGATTGCCCCATCTGTGAAGTGTTCAAGGCCAGGCTGGATGGGGCCTGGAACAACCTGGTCTAATGAAGGTGTCCCAGCCCATGGCTGTGGCCGTAATTGGTTGAGCTTTAAGATTCCTTCCCACCCAAACCACTCCAGGATTCATTTTATGATTCAAAGTTCACTTGAGAAAACTGGCCCTCAGCTCTGGCTAGCAGTTTGTCAAGAATCATCCTCTGAACAGACTTCTAGGGCCACCACAGAATAGCAGGGGGAATGCCAGTGTCTCCCTAGATAGACTCCTTATTTCCATCCTAGTGTTTTTCATATCTTTACACTAAGATGATTTCAGTGGTTTGGGTCCTTCTGTACACACTCAAATAAATGGGCTCAAACTGCCATGAAGCCAGGTCCCCAGGAAGCAACACAGAAAGATTCCTCAATAACCCAGTAAGCAGGAGAAGGCCTGTTCCCAAAGGCAGCAGTCTAGTTTTGGGACAGTTTACATAAGGTGGTTTCTGACAACCCAGCTGCTGCTTTCCACTGATGTCCAACTGTTTCACAGCTGTTTTCTCCAATTAGACTGCAATCTCCCATCAAATATTGAAGAGGTTTCACTCATCTTGTTAAACCTTGTTCCATAACCTCAGTGGCAGCACTGTCAGCATGGCTCTCCTGAGGCTGCTGCTCCAAGGCCGGGACCCCTCTCCTGCTTACCAATGGCCCTGGAGAGGTTGAGGCCGCCGTTCACCCTTCCATCCATGGTGACCTTGCCACCAGCATTCTTTATCCTGGCCAGCTCCACCTCATCCTCTGGCTTGTGGTCGTAGGACATGTCGACGGCCTTGCCTCCCTCCGACACGACACAGCGCGAGTCCCCGGCGTTGGCCACAATCAGCTGCTTGCCCCGGATGAGCGCCACGACAGCCGTAGTGCCGCTGTCTGAGCCAGGCTGCAAGAGACAGCATCTTGGTGAGATTTCCTCCTCTATCTCCCTGTCAGCTCTTTAAGGGAACCAGCACCAGCTGCACAGCCCCAGCAGTGTCCCAGGTCCCAGGGTGCTGCACCACACCCCGTAAGCACACACAGAACAATGGAGAAAGCCTGAGGGAAGTGGGAAAAACCAGGAGTGTGTGTGTGTTCACTGAGGGGCAGGGCTAGGCAACACCTCCATCCCAGTCTCATGCAGTGGGGGGGGTGTCAGGATTCTCTGGCATTCCACAGGTCTGTACCCTCTGCTCTAATGTGCTAATTCCAACCCCAGCCCAGCTTGAGCACATCCTCACTTCAAATCAGGACATTTCCCTAAAGGGAGAAGTTGGCAGCTTGGAAGCCATGTCCCCTTCACCTGACCTCCTGACTGCGTTGTTACGGGCTGAAGAGCCACAGCCCTGGCCTGGTGAGGAGTCATGCTGCACTCTGGAGCAGTGGTGCCAGCAGAGCCCTCCTGTTCTTGCCCCATGCTCTCCCCTCCACACTGCTTTCCAAGCACACCACACCTCACGAAGAGGCAGGATCAGCCTCTTCGATCCTAACCCAGCATCCAGATCTAGGCCCATCCCTCAGCTTTTGCACAAACCCAGGCTGTCAGCAGCTCCCTCAGCCCCAGAAGAGTGCACAGGGTGTTCTATCTCCACCTGAACAGGAACAGCCCCCAGCTGAGTCTCTCAAGTGCCCCTGGCTCCACACTGAGCTGCAGAACACAAAACCAGGGCGCGCACCTCCTCTTTCCCCTCCATGCCCGGTAACAACATTTCCTCCTCTTCATCCTCATCCTCCTCTGCTTCTTCAGTGTCATCTTCATCATCTTCATTCTCTGCCTCTTCACTGCTGTAACCATCCTCATCCTCACTACATTCCTACAAGAAAGAAGAGACCACAGGAGTCACACAGGGCACTTGGTGCTGTCCCCTGCTGGTCCCTCCATCCTGGGGACCAATGGTCAGCTCTCCCAGAGGTGTGGGACCTGCCATGTGTCCCCCACACTTGATGGCTACAACCAGAGCAGCTGGTATCACTACAGCAGTGGATGAAGGGATGGTGCATGCAGCAGGACCAAGGGCCATCAGCTATGGCTGCTGCAGGATGAGGGTGTGTCCTTCGGGGTTAGCTCAACAATCCCAAACATTCCCATGGGATGGCCTCAAAGGATCAGCCTGAAACACCTGCTCCTAGGAACACACCTAGGATGAGCCAGAGGCTTGTCTCAAGTACCACCATAAGCAATGCATTCTGCCCAGCCAGAAGGCCACTCTGTTCCAGTGCTGTTTCCTACCTCACTGTCTTCCTCCTCTTCCTCAACCTCATCTGACTCATCCTCACTGTCCTCAAAAAATTTGGATTTGGTTGTGCGCTGGGGCTTTCCTGTAGAGGAGCAGGAGGGCCCGGCCTCCCCAGTAGAAGAGGTGACGGCCTCGTCACCTTTGCCTAGTTCAGGCTTCTGCAGAGCAGGGCTGTTGCCTCCAGCGCTGGCTTTGTCTGAGGTGGAGGAAATACCCGTGATTTCTTCGTCTGGCTTCCCGTTCTTCCTCTCCTTGTGGTCAGGAAGCTCCCCTGGGTCAGCCTCTCCATTCATATTTGACTCCCCATCATGCTGCTTGCCTGTCCCCTCCACAGCGTTATCCCCAGCTGCAGCTACAGACTTGGCTTTGAGGTTCTTGGTGCAGTTTTGTCCATAACGTGTGAGAAGCTCCTCGATGGTCATTGTGGCTTCTTCGTGCAGAAGAGCAGCTTCCTCATTATCCACTGCAAACGGAAGAGGGAGGGGACAAGGACAGAGAGGGTGAGAGAGCAGGATACCCGCCACACCGGTCCTGTGGTGAGCTGCTCCAGCTGAGGCTGCTCCCCAGGCTGACTGTGAGCACACAGCCAGGCCTCTGCCCTCCCACTGCTCCCAGATGATGCAGGGGAGCAGGATGGTGTAGCTCTGGAGCCTCCACAGGATGGGAACAGCAAGGCCACAGTTCTGCCCACAGCACAGCCTGCCAGTGCCCCCACTGCCCCAGACCCAGTGCTCCCTGGCTGACTGACAGCACCACAGAGCCTTTACATCAGGCCTAAGGGCTGGTGGTAGCACAGTGTTCACATCAGGTGTGTGGCCAGGGGGTTGAGCTTCACTTTCCCAAGCACAAGCTCCTTGGGAGCTGCAGGGAAGCAGACTCATCACTTCCACGTGCAGGTTTGATCATTAATGCTGCAGCTGGGAACAAGACAACAGCTGCTCCACGGGCTTGAAACACCCCAGGGATCCCCACCAGCTGGCATTTGGACAGGTACAAGAGGTGAGAGCACAGCTTTGGCCATCTCCCAAGTGGGACTAGACAAAGTGGGATGACTTTCCCCAGTAACCATGGGCCAAAGACCACTGTTTCCCTATTGACATCTCCTTGCATATAGTTTGCTATTTAATCCCAAAAGGAAAACAAATACAGATCGGCCAAATGCTCCTGAAAATACAGAACAGAAAGAAAGAAAACCCAACCAGCCACCCACACACTTAATTCCTGTCAGCTGGAGAAAAAGAAACAACAAATACAGTGTTTCCAAACTGACACATTGTTCAGATTGACAGAATCACCTTGCATCTGTCACAAGGCTGGTCACAAGGTACTCAGCATGAGTAGCACAGGATTCCACCCTAGGAAACACCTCCTGGGCTGGCAACCACTTGCTGGTGGAACATTTGCTTCTTTGTGGGAAGAACTGCTGAAGAGACCAGGATCTGCTTCAATCCTATCTGCAGCTGGTGGCTGCCACCAGCCAGGGAGAGCTCAACACTGCACACCACATCGTTTCCCTTCCACACCTGAGCCCAGCTCAGAGTTCCTGATATATCCTGGAACCCTGCAACGCATGGAGGAAGCTCTATAGAAAATGGGGACAGACTGTTTTGTTATCCATAGTGTTAAGCTTGCAAATGGTTAAGGGCTCCCCCAGCACCAGCCCAAAGCCAAGGACAATGCTAATGGGCAGTAGCTCAACTCAGCCAAAATTTAACTGAGAAACTGGCACAGAAAACCTTGTGCCCAAGGAGACTTGACCCTGCTGCTCTACACCCCTGTCCTGGAGCTGCAGCCTTGTCTGTTCAGTGGCATCTCACTTACCATCATCTTCATCAGCAACTTTCTCCTTCTCATCCTCATCGTCCTGTGGCCGCCCAGCCATTTGAGAGAGCTCCTTAATCACCTCCTCTGTGGTGAGCTTGGCATCAATGGCCAAGAATGCATCTTCCAGGGCCTGTGTGTGAACACAGACATGAGTGGGCAGCTGCCCTTTCCCTACAGGATGCATGCCTGCCATACTGTGCGATCCAGTCTCTTCCAGCTTGCACACTGTAACTAATCACAGCACAGCTGCAGCTGGCAGGGACCTACAGGCTTCTCCTGATCCAACACCCTGCTCCAGCAGGGACACCCAGAGTCAGCTGCTCAGGACTATACCCAGACAGGCCCTGGATGGCTCCAAGAATGGAGACTCCATCACCTCCCTGGAACAGCCCACACCCGACTGGGTACTGACACAAGGGCTTTCCTCTGTGTTGGCACTTACTCAGTCCAGGACAGAGTTAGCGCCTTACCTTTTGCAATTTTCCTTCCTTGTAGGCCTTCTGGTCTTTGATGATCTCAGGGAGGTACTTGGCACAGTACAGGGCAACTTCTTCTCCTGAAAAAGAGCAGAAACTATTTAAAGAGGCTGATCCTTCCAGACAGAACCTGCTCTTGAGCAACTGGATTCCTGAGGTAAATCCTGGGACACAAGCCAGAGCTGCTCCAGACACAGAACAGGGACACAGCAGCTAAGTGTAGGGATCCTGCTCATACCTTCCCAGCAGGATGTGCAGATGGTCCTGGCAAACCTCAGAGCTCCAAAACACCAGGTTTGGCCAAGGCTGTGAACTTCCCAAGAGGGAGCTTAGGCCCACAGTGACACTTAGACTGACTCTTTAGGTCCAGCCTACCTGGAAATCTTTAATTTCACATGTCAGTGAAAACAGAAAGAAAGAGAAGCTTTTGTTTACTGTTCTATTGGAGCATTACCAACGTGCAGTGAACACATAAAAAGCATTCTGTCTTCTAGTGTGTGTTCCAGACCAATAGCAATGAGATCCCAGAGTCTGAGATGGACCTCTCAGGAGATAGGGTGGTCACCTGGTACAGGAAAGAGCACAGCAAGGTAAACAGCAGCCAGAACACTGTGCTGAGAGCACAGGGGATAACCAGTACTGAGAGACAGCTCAAGTCAAGTGCTCACCCTAGAGCAGCTGAAAGACTTCCAAAAGCCAGAAGTTCCCACAGCTTGGTAATTATGTCAGGTATGGAATAGGGCATGGGAGGAATTTGTTTAGATACTGAAGGTGCTATTAAGAGAGAAGGAAGAGTAAACATAGAGGAGTGATGAATTTCTGTAGTTTATCTTGAACAGGGCAAGAAAGAGTAGTGCGAGTTGTAAGAGAGCAGACTAGTCATTGAGGTTTTTATATAAGCAAAGAACAGTGTAAGACACAGGAAGGTGGCTCACACCTGACAAAGAAGAAAAATTAGAGCCAGAAACTGAGAAACAAATTAAATGACTGCACAGAAAGAGGGAGAGGAGCAGGGCAAGCTGCAGGCAGGTGGAGGGTCCCACTGCAGGGTCCAGGAATATCTTGAGGCTGTGCTGGACCAATCATTCCCTGTCACAACACAAAGAAGTAGCAGTGTGGGTGGCTGGGCACAGCATGCCAGAGACTACCTGCACCTGGGGCTTTCCTTTGGCTGTAGGTACAACCTACGTGGGCTCCTTTCCTTGGGCTACAGGACCATTTTCACACAGGAGCATTTTTCACAAGATGGACCAGCCACACAATTCCTGATCTTCCTGCTGCACATCCCAACTTCCCTGCCCTTCTCTGAGCCCAACAGAGACTGTGCATGACAAAAAGTTGTGCAGGCAGGAGCAAAGCTCTGTGAAGGAATGGGGAGCAAGGGAAGCGAGAGGAGAGCAGCAGCCAGCCATCAGTTCAGCAAAGGGAACACAATGGGAAGCAGAGAAGTAGGGAGGTTTGGGAGAAAGACAAGGGGCTTTTCCAATGTACCTGCAGAGATGGGATCAAGTGGCCATTGACAGAGAACAGAAATAGCAAAATGGCTGTTGCTACACAGTGCGGCAAAGCATTTCATGGTACACACTGAGGGAACAGAGACTGGGTCTGACCTGGAAACACTGGAGAGGACCTCTGACAAGGGCTTAGAGTGACAGGACAGGGGGGAATAGCTCCACGTTGATAGAAGGCACTGTTAGATGGGATATTAGGAAGAAAGTCTTGCCTGTGAGGGTTGTGAGGTTTTGGCCATTCTGTGTTTTCTCCAGAAAAAACTCTTGGAAGAAGGTAAAAAATTGTTAGTTATCTCTGTGAGATGGAACCTGAAGGACAGTGATGGCCTCAGTGCAAAGCCCAAATACTAAATGAGGCTCAAGGTCAGCGTTTGAGTAATAGAACTCTCAGTCAAACACCACTGATCACTGCAGAGCCCAGCGAACAGCAGGACCCAACACCAGCCTCTAACAGGTACAGCACAAAAAAGAGATGGTGTGGGTCAGGTAAACTGATCTTGGGAACACCTGATCCAGCAGTGTGAGCTGCAGCTGTTGACAGATACAAATCCCCTGACATGCTCTGCTCTATTCATTACTAGCTCCAACCCTTCCAGCCCCATGGCGGGTGCCAGGAATGGACTGCTGTGGTTTAATCCCAGGGGGCAACTAAACACCACCCAGCCACTTGCCCACCTCTCGTGGAACCATGGAATGGATTGGAAGAGTAAAAGGCAAGTAACCCTTGAGTCAAGAGAAGTTTAAAACAATAACAGTAATAATATTTTTTTTAAAACGGTGAAAAGGCAAAGAGCGAAGGGAGAAAAATAAGCCTCAAGACAGACAAGCAATGCCAGATCTGTGTCAAGGAAGACACATTAGTAGAAAAAAGGCTAAAGCACAAGTAGACAGCAATAGAGACTGATCAAACACTCCCTGCCCCCCACTCAAAGGACAGAGTGCCCAAATATCATTCTCCAGAATCTGGGGGCAGGGAGGCCAGAGCACATAAAGAAGCTGAGGAAGGGAAAAAAACTGGCCCAGCAGCATCTTTCAAACACTGGAAGGCTTGTCCACAAGAGGGAAACATAAGAGAAAAATTGATGAATGAAATGGAAAATGCTAATATGTAAGAAACCCCCCAAATGCACCCTTTTTCAAATAACACAGTAATAAAATCTTTTCCCAACCTATCTGGAGCAGGAAGCTTACTGGAGAGCTTCAGGCTGAGAGATGAGCAAGGTAAGAGAAGGTATAAGAGAAGCTAAATTCAGCTTTTGCACTGCCAGCTAATAAAGCTTAGCAAGGTTCCCACCCAAAAACTTACTCTTACATGGGAGAGACCTGAAAAATTCCTTCAAACTGAAGAGCTAATACATCAATAAAATCACACAATAGTAGGGGATGGGCAAAAGCTGTTCTTCTAAGTCAGATTCAACTATATCCATATCCTTCCTGGAATGGTTTGTCTAGGAAGAGCTGTAGAGATTCAATCACTAGAAATCCAAAATATGAGTTAGAAACTCGTGTCAGTGCTTTGCCATTCCATGCCTTTCCCTAAATCTATCTTGAATTTTCCCTGTTGTATTTATGAACCTCAATCACAATACCTAATGTCCTATACTAACAGGAATGTCATGAGTGTCCGAAGCCTCTCTAAAACACAATGCATGGAATAAAACCTTGGCAGCTGAGAAACCAACACACTGGGCTCAGAGGAGAACAGATGGTTTGATACTATTCATTCTTGACCCATTTTTGGTAGCTGCTCCTTATATTTATTTTTGCCAGACACACACAAACAGTTTCTGAGGTGAGGAGTCCCTGATCCCTACATCCCATTTCCTTGTCATTTTCTGCCTCTCAGCACCAACCCATCATGCCTGTGTTCTCAAAGATACCCTCCAGGACATCAGTGACTGCTTCACAGGCATCTCTGCACACTCTCAGATGAAGTTCAGGATAAAAATAATTTCAGGACATGAAATACATTCTTCAGGCTGAGATTACATCTTTGGAAGAGCTATTTGCTATGAACAGAAGGAAACTGCACATAGATTTCCAAAGAGCTTTCAAATAAATCATCAAATGTTTTCCATATTAAGCTGTCAAAGAACAGCAAGGAGGTTAGATAGAAGCAGCTTTCAGAATGGAGGATGGCCACTGGGAGAGCTCCTTGAAAAGCTAGGTTGTTCAACATCTACATAAATTAGCAGGAAAAGAGGTCAGTAAAACATGATGGATCACTCAGGATGATTAAAATCAAAATAATATACAAGATTTAATAGCAGGATCTTGAGCTCTTACATTATATTGGCAGAGGAAATTCTGTAATAATATTAGATATAATATTTAATAGCAATATTCAGTCATACAAGCAGAGATGAGCCTAGGACTCCTCTTACAGGGAAAAAAGACATGGAGTCCAAAATAGTGAAAGTGAGAAGTACTACCAGAGTGATTATTCACTCATTCCTTGTGTCTTGGATACTGCAGTGAAATTATCAGGCAGTAGATTTAACCGTACCTTTTTCAAATACTGATTCTATGCAAAATGCACGGTGCAATCAATCACCAAGCATAGGAGCCTTCTTAAAATGCAGTTAAGACAAATTTGTGAAGAGTTAGTTCATCCAGAAGACTCCAGCATGTCTCCAGGGAGGAACAGCTACAATCTCCAGTTTAAGGAACCCTTACAGGGAATGGATCTGCCACTTTTGATTTTCACTCTTTCCTTGGGCAACCACTGGAAGACACCGCCAAGAGTCAATCACAGGTGATTCTTCTTACCACTTTTTCTTTTGTGACTCTTCTGCTGTCTTGGGTTGCAATGCAAGATGTAACTAAAAGTATGTATTCTATCACCATCTGTTAAAACCTGGTGGGGGCAGTGTTCTTTCTCTCTTCCATGACCCATCCCTCGTAACTCCAGGGGGAAATCTGTTAGTGGGCCAGCTGTTAAAACCAGGTATGGCAGTGTTCCTCATCCTCCCTCCAGGGGGATTATCTTCTGTCAATGGGCAACTGAGTCTCACTGCAGGACTGATAAAAGTACATCATCCCATTGTGAGATGCTCCACCCAGGGGGAGGAACCAAGCATTCCTGTCTGGATATAATCAGAGAATCAGAACACCAGAGGAGCCTTTCTCCACTGGATTCCCAGAGGAGAGACCGGACCCATCTACGCCACTGGACCTTCAGAGGAAAACTACACCCTTCTACAGGATCACTGCTTCAACAGAACCACATCTGTCACTCCAGGAGGTCTGCAGCCACCATTTAATTGGATTGCTACAAACACTCTGACCAACAGGGTGTCAGCTTGTATTCTGACTCTGTCAGTAGTGTTTTTGTACTACTGCATTTTAATTTTCATTTTCTTAGTAAAGAACTGTTATTCCTATTCCCATATCTTTGCCTGAAAGCCCCTTGATTTCAAGATTATAATAATTGGGGGGGTGGGGGGGTGTTTACATTTTTCCATTTCAAGGGAGGTTTCTGCCTTCCTTAGCAGACACCTGACCAAGACACCTGCCCAGCTTATCCACCACAGAATCAGCCACTCTCAAAAGATATAAAAGATGGAATACGAATCTAATTTCAATTTCAGATCAAACCCTGACCTTCCTTCTAGAACATCTGTTGATGGTATCTATAAAAGAAAATGCTTCCCATCAAGGAGCAGAATTCCTAACAACAGATGGATGCCCCAGCAGACATGGACAACCCAGAGGGCTCACACTGAAGGACAGGACAGAGCAAAGCAGACGCAGTTACCTCCGTGTCCATCGTAGACAGAGAACATGGCTGTTTCACTGTCCAGCTCGGGAATGCAGTTGTGGGCATCCTGAAAGAGAGAGCAAAGGTCTGGAATGGCAGGGATTGCATTAGATCCAGAGAAGATCTTAGAAACACAAATTTGTTTGTGTTGAAAAAGCCCTCTGAGGCCACTGAGCCCAACCATTGCCCCAGCACTGCCAACCCAAAGTGCTGTCCCATGCCCCCAAGTGCCACATCCACACTGCTTTTAAACCCTTCTGGGGATGGGGACTCCACCCCTGCCCTGGCCAGCCTGTGCCAGGGCTGGACAAACCCTTCCATGAAGAAACTGCTCACAACAGTCAACCTAAACCAACCCTAGCACCGCTTGAGACTGTTTCCTCTTCTCCTGTCCGTTCTTTCCTGGGAGACAAGCGTGACCCCGACCCAGCTGCACCCTCCCATCTAGGAATTGTAGAGAGAGAGAAGATCCACCGATCCTCCTTCTCTCCAGGCTGAACCTTCCCCAGCTCCCTAAGCCACTCCTCATCAGACACGTGCTCCAGATCCTTCCCCAGCTCTACTCCCATCTCTGGACAAAGCACAAAGGTCAACAACACAAGCCATGTACAGTGCACAGCCCTCTTCTCCATAAGGTCTCTGTGGAACAGCCAGCTTTGAGGAAGGCACCCCCATGATTTTACAGCCAAGTGCATGAATTCCTTCCCCTGTGGGCAAGCAAACCCACCTTGGTTACTGCAACACAGCCTGGAACAGGTGGCCATGCTGAACCTTTCTCCTAAGCCCTTCCCCTGCCCAGCTGACCTCCTGAGATTCCTTCAAGTCCAGCCTTCACCCATCACCTCAGCACCTGACACTGCCAGTCAGGAGGAACACGTATCCTTTGATATGTTCAACAACATAATCTTGTAAAAAGATAACTTTGTTCTGTGCTCAGGAAACAGGAACAGTGATGTTCTGGGTTTATGTAGTGCTCTGCAATAGAACTGCTGGCACCGGGATGAAAAGAGCTTCTGAACAGGCAAGTGACCATCTGAGTTCAAAACAAGTTATGACTGAATGGTAACGCAGGAAATTTTCCCAGCCCTTACAGGAGAGAGAAATGAAAACAGGGATAAACCAAAAAGCAGCATTTTAATGCTCACTTTTCTGAGCATTCACTGAAGCCAGTGAACCCCCAACATAATAACTAGGATAAGTCCCAGGTGACCAAACAGCAGTGTAATTAAAGAGATGCAAATGCTGCTGGGGAGGAAACCCAACACTGGCACCAAAAATAGTCTGTGCTGCCCTTGCTGAACCCCCCAGGAGCCTGTCCTGATCTGTCCTGTCACTGAGCCCTGAGCCCGAGGGGCAGGGCTGGCACATGTGGCGGGAGGGCTCAGTCCCCACAGCACATGGACTCTGTCCTGCTCCAAGCACGAGGGCAAAGACAGGTCCTGGCATTGCCAACGCCACCAGCAGAGCAGCGAAAGCTCCGTGTGCTGCCAGCCAGCAGTGTCCAGCCCAGCCCTGGTCAGGGAGTTGCAGTGATCACTGACTGTGATCCTGTGTGCTCAAAGAGCTCACAAAGGTCCCAGAAGTCAGCTCCCTGCTACCCAGCCTTCTAGGATTCCTCACTCCCCCCAACCATCTCAGTGGTTACAGTAACAGTGGTGAAAAACTGTACCTGAAACTTCAAACACCCAATTCGGTTGAAATGAGTAGGCAAATTAATGAATTAACCTGAGCTCATTTAACAAGTCTCCATATTTTGAACCAAACTCTTGCAGTTTTTGAAGGGCTTTTGTTCTAACCCCGGGACAGGAATGAAGCTGCAAACTGGGGCCATTGGTGTCTCACTGCAGGGGTAAAGTCAAAACAGGAGCAAAGAGTTTGGAGAAGCCCCATCCAACCACATCCTCTGCCTCCCACTATATCCCAGAGCACTCCTCTGGACCATAAAACTGACTCCAGCCCTTTCCTTTATTGCTTCTAGTACCTAATATGATTGATCTTTTTTTGGTATCCTTATCCTTGGGGTCCCTCATCTGCCCCAAACATTTCCTTACTCCCAAAGCAACCTCTCCAGACTAAGTTACAGTATTTCTTCAGAGCCCTGTATACCCACATCACTTGAAGGCTCCTGAAACCCAAGTACAAGGTGACAAAAAGCTCCTTTACACCCAAAAATACCTGTGTCTTATCAGGTGCACACTCTGACTGGCTTCTCCAACACACACAGAACCACAGCATTAAGCACAAACATTTGCCCAGGACTTTCTCCAAGCCTTGCAGAAGAGCAAAAGTGCAACTGAACATGAAGAAAATCAAAAAACAAAACAAGACAGAGAGCAGAACACAGAGTGCTGGAATGCAAGAAAATGGACTGTTCAGCTGTATGCAAAACATGCATTTCTCTCTCATCAGGCTCACGAGCAGCCTGCAGCAGGCTAAACTCCTGCCATCTGCTCGTTTCTTGGGATAACTCGACTAAATCACATCCACACTGATGGTCTCAGTGCTGCCTCTGCCAGCACAGATAAACCAGAGATGTTGGGTAGTGCAGCACCCACATCTGCACCTTGGGGCCTCGCCCAGCCTCTGCAAAGGTTCCAGTGCCAGCCCCCAAGTGAGTGAAGTTAGAGCCAAGTCCCAGCTGTGGCAGGGCTGAGAGAGCCCCCCAGCACTATAAATCAGGGCTATTCTGCTCTCCCTCACACAGCCCAGCTCTGTGCAGAGGGACACCAGAGCCATGCCTGCATTTAGCTGCCTACACACGTTAATCACCTTTCAGATTACACTCAGTGCTCCAGCAATGTCCCTGTGCCATCAGTCCCCCCTCCACGGGTCCCTGGCAAGCACCAGCTCAGAACTGTGGGCCAGTTCCACACAGACTCTGAGCCAATCTCAGGAGCACAAGCACCAATTCTGGATCTTCTACCCCGAGAACCAGAGCCCTGAGTGTCATGCACAGAAAGGAGGAAACAAGGAAACACCTCTGGCCACTTATTTGTCACCTGTACAACTGCTGTCCCACTCCTAGAAGTTGTGAAGTGTCTGACAAAACAGCTTACGAACCTGTATCAGCAAAAATTCAACATCTGACAGTCTGAATGGAACAGCCTCTCCATCCTCTCAGCCATAGGGCTACAAACCAAACACTGAGAGATATACCTGGGATGGCTACAGGGACCAGGATTAATCCTTACCAAATTCAGCTGTTTACTGAATTTTATGTAATAAATGAGCACATTACCGGTACTCACAGAGGGTCTGAAGTTCACAGAGCTGTAGGGTCAGCAGCCCCACACTGCCCTCCTGCCAATCAAGAGCTTTAAAAGCAATTCCTACAGCCTCCTGCACTGGGGGAACACGGGCAAACACCTGGATCCTCAGCCAGCTGTGGGTCTGCTGGTAGCTCATCTGCCCACAACGAGCCCAGAAAAACCAGGACTGGCAACAGGATATTGACAGTAGCCATGAGAATTCTTCTTACAAATTTTCCTATAAATAAATAAAAACAGGGAGGAAGCACAGCAAGACACCGACACTTCATTTCAGAGGAGAAAACCAGGTATTTTCCCTGAGAATTCCCGGTTGATTTCACTCAGCACTTCACCTCAAGCACCAAACGCTCCTTTCCCTTCGTTTTTTACCCCGAATTCCTCATTTCTCGAAGGGACTTATCCAGCCACACATAACCCTCACGACACGGGGGGATTCTCCCCGTAGGAGCCGGAACACGCGGCTTCCGTGTGGAATTCTGGAAAGGCTGAGGCGGCACAAGGAGAGGCAAAATGTCCCTCCCGGCCTGGGGAGGGAGGGGGTGACCGAGAGCTCCTGGACCTCCTCGCCATTCGGCGCCGCCGGGGAGTGCCGGGTGTGGAAGCCGCCGCCCCGCCAGCCTCACCCCCTCACCTCCATGGAGACGCGCCATCCCTGCATGGCGCTGAACCCGAAGTGCAGCGGGCGCGGTCCGAGCCCGGCGCCGTCCCCGGAGCTCTTCACCGTGTTGGGCTGCGACAAGTAGGCGCCCATTGCGGCCGCGGCGGCCTCGGTCGGCGGCGACCGGACCGGACCGGGGGACGCGGGCGGACTGCGGGGGCGGCGGGACCTCGCACCGGCGGGCGGCGACCGGAAGTCGCGCGGCCGGAAGCTCGGCGGCCGGAAGCTCCGACCATAGAGGCGCGGCTAGAGCGGAACCGCGGCCCGCTCCGCCCCGGGACTACCTACACGGCCCGCCGGTGGCTTCAACCTGCCCCGAGGCTCCTCCAGGGGAACAGCGGACTTGCGACCGGCAATGCCGCCGCCAGCCGGTACCGCGGGCGGCCGCTCGCACAGATAAAGCCACGCACGCTCACAGCTATCAGAGTTATCGTCCTCCCCCTCTACATGAGGAGCCCTGGCGCACACGGCTGCTTATATAGGCTGAGTCACGCCCACCAACCAATCAGCGACCCTGAGGGTCCCCTCTCGCTTTCTCATTGGCTGTTGTACGGGGGTGCCCCGCCTATTCACGATCCTTCCCGGCCTTTCGCGCAGGGCGCCCCCTGCCGTGTGACGCGCCGTGGAGCCCCGCCCGCCGGCCGCTGGCGGGTGCTGACGCGCCGCTCGCGCCGCTGATTGGCTGCGGTACAGGCTCCTCCCCGCACGGCGCGTTACGCAGCGCGGCGGTTGCGGCGGGGACGTGCTCCGGATCGGGAGGTGCTGCGGGCCCGGTAAGTGCGCGGCTCCCACCCCTCGGCCCCCGACTCACTCTGGGACCGCCTAGGTGGGGCGCCGCTGGCAGGCGAGGGGCGCGGCCCCTGCTGACAGACCCGGAGGGCGCGGCCCGGTCCGGCCCGGCGGGCCCGGCCTGGCCCGGCGCCCCATCGCGCCTCACGGACCGCGCCTCTCCCTCAGGGTGTGCGACCGCAGCATGTCGGAGGGCGAGTCCAAGCAGGTGCCCAGTAGCGGCTCCGACCCCAAGCCGGAGCCCGCCTCGTCTGGCCCGGGGATGACCTCGGTGTCTGCGCCGGTGACTTCCGCGGCGCCCCCAGAGGAGGAGGAGGAGGAGAGCGAGGACGAGTCCGAGATCCTGGAGGAGTCGCCGTGTGGCCGCTGGCAGAAGCGGCGCGAGGAGGTCAGTGCCGGGGGCCGGTTACCGGAGCTGGACTGCGGGGGAGCCCGGGCGGGGCCCGGACGGCCGTTTGAGCCGCCTCCTCCCCCTCCCCCATCCCCGCTCCTCCTGCCACCTGTCCCCGGGACCACTAGGCCCAGACTGGGGGTCCGTCGCGCCCCCGGGAGGCGGGGAGATGGGTGGCCCTTCGCCAGCCGCAGGGCTGCCGTTCCTCGGGCCCGGAGCTTCTCGGTTGGAGCGCAGCCAGCGATGTCTTCCCCTGCCGCAGGCCGGTGTGACGGCTAGCTGTTGCTGCTGTGGAGCAGGGAGTGGCTCCGGCGCTCCCGGTGTGCATCGCGTTTCATAGATCTTTTTTTTCTGAGAATGGTGAAGAGCAGTGACTGGATAGTTCTTAGTGTTCACCGGGGAGTGTGGATGGTACCTGCTGCCGAGGTGGCCGGTCACTTGAGCCAGTTACCTGGGCTCATCAGCTTTTGAATGCTCGGTTTTGATTTGCTTTGTCATCTGCAGTCAGGACAAAGCACAGTCAGCTCACACAAGCTTGTTTCTTGGCCTGTCCTACCCACATCCACCGCTCAGTGCATGTGCTGGCAGCGCGCTGGGTAAAGGCACAAGGAGATTAGATAGTGTTTGGGACCTATCCTTTTTTTCCGCTCATTGCTGGGCTCTGTTTTTCTTCCTGGGGGCTGTCTGCACAAACTGGTTTCTGCTGGCACGGTGCTCCTGCCCTAGCTGGGCACGCTGTGCAGCCCTGGCAGGTGCTGACAGCCAGACAACGTGCTCATTCCCGTGCTGAGGCACAAGTGCTGATGGAGCTTTTCTCAGCCAAGTCAGGGGCTGAGCACAGGGGTTTGTCTGCTTTGTCCATCACTGTAGAAAGGGCAAAGCAAACCCCAGTGGTGGTGAGAGAGTCATTTGTTCTGATGTAAATTTGGAGGTCAAAAGAATGTCAGGGATTCCCTGCAGTTCTTCACCTTTGCTTGCCCGAGAGCTGTCACGGTTTGTTTTAATGTGTGCTGGCATGGTGTTCTCAGAATGTGCCTTTTCTGGTGAGGCTCTGCAAATTGGTTACAAATGTAGCTTTAAAAAAAAAAAAGAGGTTCCTTTTTCCCTTTTTTTTAAAAGAAGTGTGAAGCTCTGGCTCTGTCCTTCGCAATATATTCCATACCTGGAGCGCTTTATCTCTTGCTCTGCACTGAAGGGACACATGCTGGAGAACAAAGCTGGTTTGTTTGTGTTTTGTTTTACACGTGTTTTATTTAGTACTAATCATTTAGACACAAAGAGACACATTTTTCTGTGTTCTCCTACAGGACAAGTAAGATTTGGGAGGCTCTAGTGTTTTCTTCGGATTTCAGTTTCCCCTCAGCAGACAAATGAAATTAATTGAAATTTCAGTGTGGCTAAATTACTGTCTTATGGCTTCAGGTTGCCTCTGTAGAGGTCAGAGCTCTGCTTTACCATCATGAGTTGAGGGATGGGCTTTGGGGCCGCAGAACACGCTGTTGAGTGATCTGGGTGAGCACGAGGCTGCTACTGCTGAAGCCTTCACTCATCAGTGCTGCACAGACTTATGTCTGACTGGGAGCAGCCTCAGCTGCAGCTGACCCTGCAGTGAAATCCTGGTGTCTCTGGATTTCATGTGTCAATTTGTGGCTCAGTTAGCCCCCAGCTTGTGGGGAGGCTTTTGTTCCCTGAACTGCATGACATCAGACTCTCTTTGCTGTCGCAGTCATTTGGGCTGATCTGCTCTCCGGAGTAAACTCTTGCACTGCAGATGTCCTAACCTGAAATTTATTTGGAATAACAGGTTTGCTTTCTGTGTATCCCAGAGCAGAGTTCCCTCTTTCCCCGGGAGGTGTGACAGCTCAGTCCGCACTGGTTATTCCTGTCAGTGCAGTGTGTGAACAGGCTCTTACTTGCTACCTCTCACAGGGAGACGGTGTTACTCTGTGGAAAAAGATTTTGCCAACCTTTTCCCATTGATTCAATCCCGGTCTTTTATTATGGCAGTATCTGCTGGATGTTGGATGAGATGGCACCGTGGAAACAATGAGTCATGGTAATCTGGAGAGGGATGGGTGCACACACATGGTTGTGGAGTGAGACTGTATGTTCTGCCTGTGCTCTGGTACTTCCTATGTGTGCCATTTTTTCCTGCTTCCTCCGAGTGCCATGCTCCGGTGTAGGTTTTGAAATGTATTGACATTGCTTTTTTTAAAAAAAAGATTGTTTTACCATCCATGTCTGATGCGCTCACTGCAGCAGAGGTGGGGCTATGCAGACAGTGCAGAAGGGCCCGCAAGCGGGAAGGAGCAGGCTGGTTGTGAGCCGGGGATGTCGATGCCTGCTTACCGAAACGAGCAGATTTCGGCGGGACGGTGCCCGCGCCGCCGGTCCTGGAACGGTCGTGGGGCGGCAGGACGGCCTGCGCTGGCCGTGCCATCTCCGCACGCCCTCGCCGCCTGCTCCCGATTCGGGGGAAGCGGCCTCAGGCCCTCCCTAGCGCCCCGCGGGCCGTCCGGAACCGGGACCGCGGCCGGGACAAGAAGCAGGGCCGGTGCCGGGGCACCGCGGGGCGGGGCCGGGCGGCCCGGGAAGGGCCCGTGGGTCGGCCTCGCCAACCAATGGCGGGCGGCGCGGAGCGTTACATCACCGCCCGCGGCTTCCATTGGCTGCGGCCCGTTCTGGCCACGCCCCAAGGCGGCCGCACCCGCGGGGCCGTGCCGGGGTCGGGGAGGGGACCCTGGACGGGCCTCGGGCAGCTCGGCCCGGCCAAGCCCTGAGCAGGAGCTGCTGCGGGCAGCATAACCAGAACCACTAGTGAAAATACATTGTTCACAAGGGGAAATGGTGCTGGGAACAAGTCTGAACGGGGACAGGAGCGGGTGGAGCGCAGCCCTGCAGAAAGAGAGCAGAGGGACCCGGGTGCTGGTCGGCAGCATCTCGTCTGGAGCGAGCTTATGCCCTGGCATCGGGAGGGCAAACCTCGTCCAGGCAGGAGCAGGATGGGACGGCACAAAACTCCGTCCTGGGCCTGTTACACACAGCAGAACCAGATGTTTATGAGAGGAAATGGTCCCGCTATAGGTCTTCTCCCTGGGATCTGGGGTCAGGACACCAGGGAGCGGCTCCAAGCTGCGTCTAGGGAGGCTCAGGCTGGACAAGAGGGACTATTTCCTTACCGCAAAGGTCACACCGGCCCCAGGCTTCCTGGAGAGGAGGTTGGTGCCCTAGGCTTGTCCATGTTTCAGGCATTTGGACAATGCCCAGTGTGCTGTGGCATGGGCCAGCCCTGATTGCATTGAGCAGTGGAACCAGTGAGCAGTGGAACCAGGTTCCTTCTAGCTGGCTCTTCTGTGTTCTATTCCTACTTAAATATCAGATGTGAAAAAGGACTGAGTGTTGAGTTCATTGACTGTAATTCTTTCTATAAACAGGGAGTTTCTGTAGTGCAAAGAGTGTAATTCCTGTGAAGTTCAGAGTATTTTTATTAAAATCAAGTGCTTCTGTGACATTTTTAACTAAGAACCCTTTTTAATAAGATAGAAAATGTTTATGTTCACTAAATTCCATTTTTTGTGGAACATGGAGCAGTACCAGTGGTTCCTGCAGTGTTGTGGACTGTGCTGCTTTTCTTCCAGAGCTGAATCTGGCTCTGGAATTGTGCCCACACTCCTGGTTGCTCTCTCAACCAGCACACTGTTGAGGTTTTTACAGGGTATCTTGTCCCATGGCTGAAGCAGAGGGCAAGCATGGGGGCAGGGTGGTCACAGGGCTAGTGGGGTCTTCCAGCCTGTGCTCACCTGGTTCCCTTTGGTTGCTTTCCCTGAAAATTCAACCCCTCTGTTTCTGCTCTCCTGCTCTAACACCCCATTTCCTTCTTGCAGGCAGCACACACGCATAACTTACTTTCCTTGGGTTGTCCAAGTATCTTGAGAATTATCTGCTGTGCCTCCTAGGAATAGAAACTTCCTAATGGAGCAGGATTGCAGCACCACATTAGCAGGTCAGGTATAGCCTCCTGAAGCTGGTGGTGAACCTGAAACTGAGAGCTTCTTGCCTGCTGTCCCTGGAAGCTACATGGATGACACATAACTGTAGGAAAAGTTGTGCACTGCTGCAGCAGAATCTTTTAGTCTCAGCCCAGCGTTATGGTGTTTGGCTTGGCAAGCTCCTGTGAGTAGGAGAGGCTGAACCCTTCCTAGATTGTGATGTCCTTGGGTTTGCTGTGTGTGATGGCTGTCTATTGACCAGGTTTCTTTGTGTATTTTCTGC